TTGGTTAGCTATGCTCTTAATAGTCAGGCAGCCTTTCGAGAGGCTAACCTCCAAGCTACAACTATCCCGTCACCAAGGCCTTCTTCATTTTGGTCTCTACCGCTAGCTCCCTTGTGAGGACCTGTAAATTTTCTTTATTTCACAATATTTTATTTTATTTTTCTCGCATGCATTTTCTTCATTAAACCCTATTATGTTGATTTTTCAGAGATTTTTATAAGTGAGTATAGGTTTTAAATCATTTTCATAAAATAAGTTAGTTCATAATAAGTTTGAAGTGCGTTATAAATGTGGGACCCGCTAGAGCGCTAAGTGCGATAAATTTTTGACGATTAATTGAAGTTTTGTATTAAGAAATGTTATATTACCAAGTGCTAGCAGATAATTGGAGGTTAGCTAGATTAATTTGTATTGGGAGACAAGAGGATGAGAATAACATTAAAAGTTGCTAGGTGTCGCGACCCGATTGGAGTTGGACTTTGACCTAACTTTCTTACCTTTACTAAATACCAAAAATTTGACCAAAAATATCCCATTTCTTCTTCCTTCTTGGCTGAACACTTGAGAGAAAGAAAGAGAGGAAAAATTTCATCTTCAACTTCAAATCCAAGCCAAATCTTAAGTTCCAACCATTAGAATCTCAAATTACTCAATAGAAACTTCTTGCTAGAGAGGATTAAGGTGGTTGGTGGAGTTGTTTTAGAAAGGGAAGACCTAAGTTGCTAGCTTTCTTGAGTTTTTGAGGTCAGTTGCTAAGAAAGTTCCCTCTTTGCCTTCATAATGGTTGATTAGTGGCTAAATAGATTATTTTGTGGAAGATTTTAGGGTTTAAAGTAGAGTTTGACAAATTTTAGAATTTTTGGTGATTTTTCTGATTTTATATGATGATTATTATTGGGACATGGAATGATAGATTAATATGGTATGAAATGAAGCTTTGGTATGTTAGTTTTGATTGCCTAAAGAAATTTCAGCTAGAGAGCATAAATTCCAGTTTAGGGTTTCATCTTACCCTGTTCTGCCCGATTCTGTTCGGCCATGATGGATGCCGAATCAGCCTTAGTCTAAAACATGAAAGTTGTAGCAAATTATGTTTTATAGCTTTCTGTAAAATTTTAGCTTAATCCAAGTATCGTAGCATATGAAAAGACAAAAATAGCCCTGACTGCCATATGTAGAGCTCTGTGGACAGTGTTGACATTTTACCCATCTGACCGCATCTGTTCATCCTGATTCATACTGAATTAGTATTTGGCCCAAACACAGAAGTTGTAGTGATATGTCTTAGCTTTCCAACGGCCCTAAAAACGCCTCAATTGGACTTCGGTTGCTTGAGTTATTGTCATTTAAACATCATGCGGTTAACTAGCTTGATTGTGAGACTGTGGTTCTGTAATTTGAAATTTTGATCTGGTTACACTGTGAACTGGACTGAGTGGTCTTCATCAAAATTGTAGCCCTTTATCTTAGCTTCGAAATGGTATAAATTGTACACCAATTCAATAAGCATAGCTTCGGTTGTGTCTGATACGCTAAGCGACGTTAAATCTGTCTTTTGTTTATGGCTTAAACTTCATTTACGGACATTTTCCTAGCTTGATTTTGTACTTCTACGACATTGAGTCTATTGAATGGCTATTGAAATGAGATTATTTTGTGGGTGACATTCGGGCTGATTTCAGGAAAAATGAAGCCATGATGGCTGGAAAAGTAAGCAAATTTAGGGGAGATGCTGTCCAATTTTCTAGGCCGTTTGGTTCCTTTAAGTTTGAGTTACCTTTTGGTAGAAATGAAGAGCTTTTGGGTCGTTCAAGCCCTAGGTCCTCTCGTTACCTTTTCGTTCCAAAATCACGCTTTTGCATCTTTGCATTCGTAGTTCGTTTGGTTAGGCATACGACTTATAGTTGAGTTTCATTTGTGAATGTCGTTCCCATAGGAACCATAATTGTTTTACTTTGATCATTTTTGAACGTGCTGGTGATCCAGGAAGTACTCCAGGGGGAACGTTTGAAATTGTTTTACTTGAACTGGTGAGTGTACCACTCCCTTCATTGCCGCTTAACTTGGTTTCTGTACATGTAATCTGTGATATGCATGACTGTATTATCTGTTTATTCTGCTTGAGAGGGGGGTGTACTTCATCACACTCGTTCTTTTCTCTGTCTGTATGCCTATTTACTATGCGAATTTGAATCTGCTATCTGTATCTGTATATGTTCTGACGTCGTTTGGAAGCTTGTATCTAACGACCTTTCTGTGACCTCTGAGCTCAAATCCTGTGGCTAAGTTACTCAAGTCGAGCCGGCAAGGGTCTGGTCGATTAAATAACGAACCACAGTAGTCTGTTCTAGGAATCTTTGGGTATTGAGACCTTTGATTCCGGTATACTCGAGTATTACCACTTCTGTTTCTGTTGAGGTGTTCGGGCCCGGTAATGGGTAAGTTTGGTGGACGAATTTTGGTGTAAAGTGGTGCTCTACTGGACTGGATTGGTTACTTTATTTGGAAAGTTGACGGAGTATTAACTATTATTTGATCAAGCTTCGGTGAAGTAAATGGGAATTTGGCTCCTGAGAGCCACCCATATCCTTTCTATCTATGGTGTTTGTTTATTTCTTTATTTGATTTTCATATGTGACTAATTGAATATGAAGTTTCATGATTCTTACTTGCTATTATTTTGGTACCTCATTGAGCGTAAGTTCACCCCCATTCCATTATATTTGTTTTTCTTACAGGGAACCACATTTTGAACCGTGATTTTAAAGAAGAGGGTTAGTGTAAACGTTCTTTTATTAGCTCTTGTGTAATCAAAACCCTAATTGTCTTTTAATTAAGTATCATGCTTTTAATTGTAAAGTTTGCAATGTATGTATATAAGTGTTTTATCATGTACATTAAATGTATTCATTTGAGATGGTACCTTTGCATTTGTTGAGATGCTACTTGTAACCATTCAATGATCGGACGAGTGCGGCATTTGAACAAGAAAAGAAATTTCTGGCAGGAACTGTTCACCAAATTAGGCCGTGTATCCGACCAATTCTTGGCCGGATTAGCAGGGGTTTTGGAAAATTTTTGGATTACACATTGCCTCATATTCGGCCAGCAATCCAGCCAGAAATCGGGCCATATCTTGACCGGATTGTGATGTGTCCGCTTTCCATTTGCATTTTCGTCTTCATTTTCATTTCCGTTGAGGCGTTTAATCGAAGTACCATGGTACCTTACAGTGTAGAACTCATGTTTCTCAGTTTAGTAGTCTTCGATTGATTGTTCTATTGGGGATTCGTTTGTGCGCTATATCGGGTTTGTGTGATTCGACTCCGTAGTCCTAATGAAACCTGGGCAGGCGGTCCGCCGAGCCCTTTGGTTCGCCTTAGGATGAGATGGGGCTGTCACATCCCCACTTCAAAATCAACTTTGATGCCTCTATATCAACAATTCACCGTGTTGTTGGGATTGGTGTAGTTATTCATGATTATGTTGTGACAGGTTGTTGAGTCTGTGCAATAATAAATACCTGCTCAAATAAAGTATAAATTTTGTACACAGTGGTAAGTAGAGTCGAATTCACAGGGACTGAAAAAATTCGTTTCTTCTCAAGTTCAAAATATGGGGGAATTTTTATAAAAAATATATAAAAATAACTAATTAACTAAATTAAAACAACTCAAGAAAATAAATAGGAATTAATCTACAATAGACACGATTTTAGCCAAAGGTTCAACTTTTCAGACACGGTCCAGTCAACTGATCATCGATGTAAAGATAATTCAATTACTTATTAATAGATTGGTTGTAGTTGCCATACACGCAATAAACAACCAATTCTTCCTTACTTTTTCGATAGTCAAGGTACGACCGTAGAATTCAATTCCTCAATTGCATTAAAAATTAGAAAAATTCAACCCTAACCAATAAACACGTTACAAGAGTTTATTTAAATTAGATCATACGTTCCCCTAACATGGGATCAATCACGTTAGTCGCCACTGGTATTAACCAATCAAACAATTATGGATTTAATCGATTAATTTGGCAGTAGATTATTAAATTAATTCAAATATCGGGCCCTTAACAATCAAATAACAAAACTATCATAAGAAATTAAATCAGAAAACGCATGAACACCAATGAATAAAAGAAATAAGTAAAATAATTCAATCTATAGATGTTTGAAACCAAGTTTTCAAGTTGACTTTTGACTAGAAAAGGACTTAGTTGCGCATAGCCATTGAAGCAATTCACACCATTTTTCCAAAACCAGCCGCATTAGTCTTTGATAAGAGCAAAACAAGAGAAAACAAAAGATTGGCGAAAAGGCCAAGCGGCTGTCGTACCTCCCTTTTTGCCGATACTAATCAATCCCCTAAATAGATTAAGAGACGGCCAAATCGTAGTTTCACAAGTACTCCTAGTAGCCATAACTTCCTTCCTATTTTGTAGCTTTGAAAATAAGATAAACTTCCTAATTTTCCTAAGAAAAAGATAATTTCTAAATTGATAAAAGATAATTTAAATAGTTTCCCAACTGTAATTGGAAACATGTTTCGTAAGTCTTCAACTTGAATTAGGAAATTGCCACGCGCGAATCTCGGCCTCTCTGAACCTGACAACAATTCTTGAAAAATTACCCCTTTTAACCATGTTTTGTTCCTTTTCCTACAATTAGCACCATTAACCAAATATAAGTAGAATCCATCAATTAAAACAATATTTTTTAAAATAAAAAAAAGAAAATAATCATAAAATTACTGACAAAAATGCAACCTATCAATTTCACCCACATCTAAACCATACTTGTTCTCAAGCATGAGAACAATAAATCAAGGAATCAAATTCAAACAATGGCTATTGCTCAAATCTTCTATTGCCAAAATACAATTAACACAGAAATAAAAGAAAACAAGTAGTCATAGTTTGAAGATGTATAGGACTTCTTCTCCGATTTTCTCTCCTTGCTGCTGGCTTCTTCGTCTAGGGTTTAGTGGTGCTTCATGGCTGCCCTTCAGCCATTGGCTGAGGGGCAAGGCGCCTCTCCTTCAGCAAGGAAATCCTTCTCTCAGTTGTTCTCCCAACCTTCATCCTCACCCATTCAAATTCGGCCAGTGACATCCTACAAGGGTGAGACTGCTGTGATTTTTCCAGGAATGATGCGGATAGATTGGCAGTGCCTTTTCACTGGGCTTTGGTTGGAAAGTTCTCACACGGTAGGCCATCTTTGGAAGACATTCGGAAGTTCTTTGCAGCGCTGAATTTGAGGGACCACGTATCGGTTGGTCTACTGGATTATCGCCATGTACTTATCAAATGCTCGGCATAGGTGGATTTCAATAGACTATGGACACGAGGGATTTGGCAATTGGGTAGATTTCCGATGAGAGTGTTTCGGTGGACAAGGGACTTCCATGTTCAGAAAGAATCCTCCCTAGCTCCAGTTTGGGCAACATTACCAGCTTTGCCAGTACACTTCTTCGATAAACATTCCTTGTTTTCCATCCTTTCTCTAGTAGGGAAGCCATTGTTTTTGGATGCGGCAACGGCAGCACGCACAGGCCCTAGTGTGGCTTGGGTATGTGTGGAAGTGCACTTGGTAAAACCCATCTGTTCCAGAGTTTGGGTGGCAGTGGAGGGTGAGGTAGGTTTCTGGCAACAGATTGTCATAGACGATCTTCCTTCGTATTGTTCAAAGTGTTGGCGGCTGGGTCATTCTGTTGGTGACTGTAAGAGGGAGGACTTTGTCAGTCGCCAAGTATCCAAAAGCACTACGGTGGCATCGCAAGTACCCCAGGCTGTTGCAGACGGTAAGATGCAGGTGGAGGTCTCGGTTAAGGAGACCCATGTAGCTACAAATCTTCGGGAGGAGGCTCCGCTAGTGCTGAAGGATGTAGGGAAGATCCAGTGCTTATGCTCATGAGGGAGAGCATCACGAAGGGGCTGCACCTGCCTGGGGTGGTGGACGATGTGGCTCCACAGGTTGGTGCGCAACAACGAGATGGGTAGTTTGTAGTGGAGGGGAGCAGTGTGAGTACAGAGGATAGGACCGAGGAGCGTTCATGCTTAACAATATCCATCCATTATCCAACCCGCACGTCGGGCGTTCATAATACAACTTAAATTCCAAAATATACATCACATATATCCGAATGATACATTAAACTTTCAAAAGTACAATCATAAAGGGGTCAAGCCAAAATACACTTGAAACCCTAAAACAAAATATATCCAAAAGGAGATTTCTCCGCGTTAACTCCATTTCCAGTCCTGTTAAAGAAAACAAATCTATAGGGTGAGCAAAACGCTTATGAGGCCAAGGACACACATGCAAGCACGTAGTTCAAATAACAATCCCAATTACAAGCTAAGCAATAATATGTTTCAATAATTAACAATTTACCGGAAAGTAAACGGAAACAATTCAAGGATATAGGAGCTCTCAGGAGTTATATTCCTCTTGCACGATCAATAACCTCCACGAATTGACACTCCGTCAATCGGGTAGGTTTTGTCCGTAGAACTCCACTTAACCTGTCCCCTTTCACCTTACATACCCCTGTATCGGGCCCGCCTGTCACTTGTTTGTGGCGATACTACTCGAGTATGCCAAGCAAGACCTCTCATTAGGTCAAGCATATATATCTCATGCCTCGCCAAGATTCCCGACCAAACCCATGCCGGCTCGAGTCCAAGGTCGGCCAATGAGATGTGGGCGTCCCCATGTGCAATTGTGTGTCGAGGAGATTTACTCCAACGACGTATGCAATCATAACATACCATATCATGTATCAAGCATTGATACGTACAAGCAATCGATGTATCCAAGCAATCGATATATTCAAGCAATTTGAGCATGAGTTAAATCATTTCGAATGAGAACGAGTGCGATAAAGTACACACTCGACTCCATTTCTCAAAATCTCAAGTATCAATAACAAGTAATCACGTATCGAATTCACAGGATTTCAAGTAACACACACTTGACACTCACCAAGTAAAACGAGAAGAAAAAGGCACTCGAAATTTAAGCGTCCACCGTGGGACCCTCTTGTGGGTCCTCGTGTGTGCCTGAGCAAATAATAGTGAAGCATCACTCATATATCCCAATTGTCAAGGAAGATTGTACACTAGTACAATCTAAGGAAATTTCATGAAATCGAATCTCAATTACTCGTAAATCGAGATTCAATTAGAGTTTCTTAAAGTACAAGAGCGATCGAGTTTTCATTTTGAAAAATCAGGTATAACATGTTCAAGTAATATCGAAGGAATAAGGAGTGCTTGAAAACTCCCTTCCATTAGAATTCGAAAAATTTTCAGTTTTGATACGATATTTTGGAAAATCGTATCTCACATTCTACATGTGAAAAATTGGAAAACTACCGTTGGAAACCTCTTTGAAAGTACTAAAAGTTTTTAGAAGACACTTTTCCATGAATCTAAGTGGAAGATATTCAAAAATGGGTTTAAAGTTGCTGTTCCAGAACATTTAGAATTGAGCCGGGGTTGGTTTTTCGCTAACTTTGGAAATTCGGCAAAATTCACACGTTACGAGCTAGCCTCTGAAATTTGTAACTCAATTAGAGTTGCAAGTAAGGTTTATAACAGAAAAAGCGGATAAAGGATCGGAGTTTCGACCACCGAGATACGGTAGCTCGAAGTTTGGGAAAAATTCAAAACTGGTGAACAAATTTCCAGATTTGAGCTTCCAACTTTGGGACTTTAGTTAGGTATCGAAATGGACTTGGATTGGTACAAAATTTCGCAGTATAATATTCCTATATAAAGAGTATCCCTCTATCAAATTTCATGGAAAATACCTTCGGGAAGGTAGTCAATCAAACACCCAAAGTTTCGAAAATACTAAGACAAAACTGCCTTGAACCTTTTGTTTTCCATTTCAAACATTTGGTCAAAGAAAAATTCCTCAAACATGGCTCATTAGTGTAGGCAAAGCCTAAGGAATATTCATGGTACATTTGGTAAGTGTTTAGCACCAAAATATTCAGTTAGCAAGTCTATACCAAGCCTTGCATCAAATCTGTCCAAAAGTCAGGGTTTTCAAGAGCAGGGCAGGTTCCGTATTTTGATTGCAAATCACTCAAATTAACTTGGAATTGGTCATGGTTTATGGAGTTGGAAAACACATTCATAGAGCTATATTTTCACAGAATAAATCATTTTGAAATTCGGCTCACAACTAGCTCGAATTCGAGCCACAAGTTGCAGCCTCAGCATTTCGTTCCGGTAAAACAGAGAAACAGAACAGCCGACTTTAAATGGTTGGTTCGGCTCATATACATGGAACCAGAACGTGCATTTTATACCGTCGGAAAGGTTGGAATGTATAGTTTCAAATGCGACTGACGGCACTTAATTTTGACATCGGAACACAAAATTATGGCCAAAACACAAAAGCTGGTCAGAGCATTACGGGAACAGTTCCAGGTTTACTAGCTTTGTGAAATCAATTCATTTGACCCACCAAACTTCAATATTTTTCAATGAAATTTTATACACCATCTATACAACATATAAACATCATATATAAGTCATTACAATCCAAAATTCCATAGAAATAGATACGTTCAAAGCAGGGGCAGAATTGGAACTTTTCTGCTCATGCATTTCTTGAAGTTCATACTACTAATACACCATTAATCTACCATTTTGAGCCCTAAAACAACATTAAATTCATCATCAATCATCACATCAGCCATCAAGACAAAGGGGGGAGTTGATAGAGCCCACCTTCCAAATTTCCAACAATAACAACTACCCCTATGAATATCCAAGGTTAAAGGTGTTAAACAACCTCTATAAACCAAGTTTAGAGTGTTGGATCATTACCTACTTTGGTTTGATTTTCAAGCAGAATTTATGGCCCCCCCTTTACTCCAGCAAAATTGTGATTTTCAGGTCCCCTTTGCAGCTCAAATGATCCTTAAGTGTTAAGCCACGTGTGGTTTAAGTTGGGTGTGAATTGGATGAAGATTTGTGTAAGATTTGGAGATGGAATTTGCAAAACTTGGAGTTGTTTTGTTGCAGCTGATGTTTTGGCCAAATGAGAAAGAAAGAGGCGTGTGATATGCTGAAATAAAGCTTCTAAAGTAAGCTTAAATGTGTGGCCACAATTCGCCGAAAGTCAACTCTCTCTTGCACGTATACGCGCACATTTTGGGCCCGATTCCTTTCGAGTTTATATCACTAGTGCACTAAACCTCTAATGCACTTATATTCATATAAATATTATTCACTCTTAATTGTCCCAAAATAATGGTCTAAAATCCATCAATTAATCGCGCGCGTGAAAACGCGTATTTCCAATTTAGACGCGATGAAGTGAAACCTTCGAGAAATTCTTATAACGATCGTACCACTAATTATCACTTGAGTACTTAAACCTAAATTTACCTATTTTAAGACCATTGTACATGTCTCCAATTTTTCGGACTTAATGTACTCCCAATTGGTTAAATTTTCCAAACGCGTTTTCACTTTTTCACTAAACAAGCTTCTAAGAAAATAATTTTTGAAACGAGACATTTTAAAAATATAACGAAGCTATAATACCATGTACTTAAGTCTAATAAAGTTAGAAAATATTATTCGTGTCAAAAAATCCAAATAAATAATTAATTAAGCCAAAATTAGGGATTTAAAAATAATAGATTTTCGAGTCCTCACATTCTCTCCCCCTTAAGAGAATTTCGTTCTCGAAATTTTACCTTGATTGGCAAACAAGTCCGGATACTTCTCTCTGATCGTTTCTTCAACTTCCCATATTACTTCCTCAACTCCTTGGTTCCTCCAAAGAACTTTTACTAGTGGTATCTGCTTGTTCCTCAATTCTTTCACCTTTCGATCCAGAAGTTTCATCGGTTTCTCTTCATAGGTCAAAATCTCATCAATCTCAATACTCTCCGGTTGCAAAATGTGAGAAGGGTCTGGATGATAGTTCTTAAGCATAGATACATGGAATACATTATGCATTCGAGATAAACTCGGTGGCAATTCAAGCTTATAGGCTACATTCCCCACACATTGGATAATCTTGTAAGGTCCTACAGACCTCGGTTGTAACTTCTTTCCTTTTCCAGACATCACGCTTGCTTTCAAGGGCGTGATTCTGAGAAATACCAAATCTCCAACAGTAAACTCCAAATCTTTTCTCCGATTATCGGCGTAACTTTTTTGGCGGCTCTGAGCGGTCTGAATTCTTTGGTGTACCAACTTTACTTTCTCATTAGCTTCTTCAATCCAAGACACTGTAGTCGGATCTAAAATTTTCCGTTCACCTATTTCATCCCAACAAATCAGAGACCTACATTTCCGACCATAAAATGCCTCATACGGGGCCATCTGAATAGAAGAATGGAAACTATTATTGTAGGCAAATTCTACTAAAGTCAAAAACTTCAACTCTCCCCAAAATCCAGAACGCAAGTTCTCAACATATCCTCAAGGGTCTAAATTGTCCTTTCAGACTATCCATCGGTCTGGGGATGATAAGTAGTACTAAAATTCAATTTAGTCCCTAACACTTCTTGTATCTTTTGCCAGAATCTCGAAACAAATCTTGGATCCCTATCCGACACGATACTGATAGGTATTCCATGCAACCTAATTATCTCATCCAAATACAACCTGGCCAACTTCTCTAACGGGTATTTCATATTAATCGGCAGAAAATGAGCCGATTTGATCAATCTATCAACTATTACCCAAATCGCATCATGGTCTCTCTGTGTCCTTGGTAATCCCGATACAAAATCCATGGTGATATTCTCCCATTTTCACTCAGGTATTTCTAGAGGTTGCAAAAGTCCCGATGGTTTCTGATGTTCGGCTTTAACCTGTTAACAAATTAAGCATGTTTGGACAAATTGAGCAATCTCCTTCTTCATGTTCTCCTACCAA